GATTCATCCAAGATCCTCAAAGTGCTGCTGATGTCATTGCAAAGCCTCTCTTGGTGATTTTTGAGCAGTCTTGGGATTTCAAAGAGTTCCCAGCTGACTGGAAGTCAGTGAACATTGTCCTAATTTTCAAGAAGGGCAAGAAGGAGAACCCTAGAAATTACAGGCCTGTCAGTTTCACTTCATTGCCTGGTAAAATCAATGGAGAACATTATTTTGAGAAGTATTAAAAAACACCTGGAGAACAGCGTAGTCATTGGTTGCAGCCAGCATGGCTTCATGAGGGGAAGTCCTACTTATCAAACCTGATTTCCTTCTATGACAGGGTAAACCCATCTGGTTGATCAAGGGAAGCCAGGAGATGGAATCTTTTTTGATTTCAGGAAAGCTTTTGATACTGTTTCTCACAGAATCCTTCTGGACAACCTGTCCAGCCCCCAGCTGGATAAACACATCAGGTGATGGGTGAGAAACTGGCTCACAGGTCAGGCACAACAGGTGACAGTGACTGGGATGACATCAGACTGGTGACCTGTCACTGCAGGGCTTTGTCATTGCCCTGAGCTCTTCAGCATCCAGTGACTTGGACACAGGACTGAAAGGAATACGAAGCAAGTTCACAGAAGATACAAAACTGGGAGGAGCTGTTGTCTCCCTCAAAGGCAGGGAGGCCCTGCAGGGAGACCTTGACTAAACAGAGGACTCATCACCAACCATGTGAAGTTCAACAAGAGAAAGTGCCGGATTCTTCACCGAGGATGGGGCAACCCTGGATATGTGGGTGGACTAGGCAACAAGAGGCTGGAGAGCAGCTGCAGGAAGGGACCTGGGGTCCTGGCCAGCTGGATCTGAGTCAGCAGTGCCCTGGCAGCCAGGACAGCTACCCGTGTCCTGGGGGACATCAGGGACAGCATCGCCAGCCAGGCAAGGGAGGGGATTGTCCCGCTGTGTTCTGCAGTGGGGCAGCCTCACCTCGAGTCCTGCAGCAGATCTGGGCACCGCAATATTAAAAAGACATTAAGCAATTAGAGAGCATCCAATCCAAAGGAGGCCATGAGGATGGGGAAGGGTCTGGAGAGAAAGCCATATGAGGAAATGCTGAGGTCACTTGGTCTGTTCAGCCTGGAGGAGACTGGTAGAGACCTCATTGTGCTCTTCAGCATCCTCCTGAAGGGCAGCAGAGGAGCAGGTACCGATCTCTTCACTCTGGTGAGCAGTGATAGGACTTGAGGATGTGGCTGGGGCTCGGCTGCATATTAGAAGAAAGTTTTTCAGCCAGAGGTTGGTTGAGCACTGAACAGGGCCCCCGGAGCAGTGGTCACAAGCCTGTCTGAGTTCAAGGAGTGTTTCGACGGCACTCTGAGGCACAGGCTGGGGTTGTTGGGGTTCCCTGTACAAGGCCAGGAGTTGGACTCCGTGATCCTTGTGGGTCCCTTCCAGCTCAGCCTATTCTATGATTCTATAATTCTAGGTTGGACAGGGCTGGGAGCAACCTGGGACAGTGGAAGGTGCCCCTGCCCATGGAGCTGGGTGAGCTTTAAGGTCCCTCCCAAACCAAACCATTGTGGTTTTACAGTTCTGATTCACATCCACTTGTGCTGACCCTGCAGGGTCACCGTGCTTCACAGGGACAAGTTATTCCCAATTTTCTATAATTCAGGCACTCTCTGCTCAGTGTAACTCCATCTCCAAAAGGATTTCAGCCTGAGCAGCAGCTTGGTGCAAAAACTGCCCCAGAAGGAGCACATTGGAGTGTTACAGATGTGTGTGATGGGGACCACAGCCCTGGGACCCCCTGCACTATGAAGGGTGATGAACAGGAGCCTCAAACAGGAACCTGGTTTAGGGAGGAAGAAGAAGGAAGCTGAGTAATTTAGCTGTCTTGGAGATGGATCATTTGCCACCCGTGAGCACCACAAGAGAGAAAGGTTTTGGACTGCAGAGTCTTTGCAGAAGGAAAAGGAAATCCAATAGCTGGCAGCTAAATGGTGTAAATCCAGACTAAAATTAATGGAATATCTGGTGTTTTTTATGGGAAGATAATTTGCCATTGGAAAAACTTGCTTAAAACCTGCAAATTTTTTCTCCTCCTTCTCTCTGAGCCGCCAGAGTGGATGCAGAGTTCCAAGGGGATCCTTCAGATGAGGATAAGGGGGTGGGAGCAGTGGTGTATTGAGCACAACACTTCCACTGCACCGAGTTTTCATTAAATAAAAGGCTTTTAAAAATGCAAAATGCTTCAAAATATGAACTTTATTTGGGGAATTATTTGTAATGACTTAGAATATATCTTGTTTTCCATTTTAGTCACTGCTATTAATGTACTTACTATACACCACTGTCACTGATAGTTAAGATAAAGTAACAAATTCAGGGGGTTTTTAAAGCTTCTTGCTAGCACTGTGTGAAAAATGTTGTTTTCCTTTCAGATCAAACACCACTGGTGTTTTAATGAAAAAGCAAGATCCTCTGATAAAGTAAACACTATTATTGCCTATGTAAACAAATACTCAGTTTAAAAAGAAATTTTGTAAACCTGACCCACAACTTTTTGGGATTAGCTGTTTTCCAGAACTCTTCCTAGTGGGAAAAATTGAAAAGAACTATTTTTTGCTTTTTACTCTTGGAATAAAACCAAATTTCGAAATCCTGGTTTCCTGTGAACTGGAAACCGCTGGCTGGAACCAGGAGTAATGAACAAGCCACAGTCTGAGGAGGATGTGCTGCCAGGAGTAGGTGCAGGGAGCACAGTGCTGCCGAGGCACTTTTTGGGGTGTCAGTGGGGAATGGGAGGTCACATGCATGGAGCAGCTGTCACCTCTGCATCCAGGCCTGGCTCTTCAGTGATGGATCTGCTCAAGGCTTAGCTTTTCTTCCTTTGTTTTTGTTCAGTGGAGTGAAAGTGGAGAAGGTGGAGATGCTCTTGGGGGGTCTGTGGGAGCATGCTTGTTTTTCTGGTGGGAGAAGGACATGGTTACATCCAGTAACTCTCCATTCCCATTCTGGGACTACCTTTGGCAGTGTCCAGAGCCATATTGGATGGGGCTTGTAGCAACCTGGGATAGTGGAAGGTTGCTCATGGCAGGAGGGTGGGACTGGATGGTCTTGAAGGTCCCTCCCAACCCCAGTCATTGTAAGTGGGACTCTAAGTGTGTATGGGATGCACACTTCCCAGCATCCCTGCAAGCGCAGTTGGCATCACCAGGGCACGTGCTGAAATCAGGGGCAGATTCACATTGTCCCTGCATATCAGAGGGAGAGAATTTCCCCTCTGGGCATGACCATGGTCTCAGCACAGAATCACTGGCCATATGCTGCCCTGTGCAGTCTGTCCCACCACACTCCCCTCATGTCCATCCTCGGTGTTTTGAGGCCTTTGGGCAGAATTTCTAAACTGCGCTTCCTAAACTGAGGAATATTGTCCTATTTCCTTAAACTGTCAGCTTTGGGTGTGGTGCAGAAAAATCCCTGTATTGCCATGAGCATGTGGCTGCAGACCTGGAGGAACAGAGAGTTACCCAGACTCTGGAAGCCACTCATGGAAGTGTCCAGAAAAGACTTTTGAACACTCCCTGGGAAGTGTTAAAGAAGTGTGTAGATGTGGTGCTTAGAGACATGGTTTAGTGCAGAGCATGGCAGTGCTGCAGTAATGGTTGGACTTGATGTTAGATGGCTTTTCAAACCATGATTCCAAGTGTGTGGAATGTATTTCTCATTTATTTCTGATGAGGCTGGCTGGCATGTTCACCTGCTCATGTTGGCCCAGAAATTGGGGTACCATAACCTGAGCACCCCTCCTTGTGCCATCAGTGGAGTTAAACCAGCCTACAGCTATTTGGGACGAAAAGAATGCTGGTGTTGGAAGTACCATGAGCTGCAGTAAGGGTGAGGAGGCTTTGCTGTTGCATGGCTTAGGAGGACTTGCCTGTGCTGGTTGGTGGTAGCATCACCTGACCTGTTTCAGCCCAAATCACCTGGAAAACCAGCTTTAACAGTGGTTTAATTTTTTACAACTTTTAAGTCCCAAAAGTGCTGTTCCTCCCCACATCCTACTGCATCTCAGAGGATTCTCCCTACTGTGCAAAGTGCTGAGAAAAAAAATATCCTGCTTTTGGCAAAGGAAACTAGAAGGTGATGGAGGTTCCCTGCTCAGGCTGCTCCTCAACTCCAGGGGTGGAACTAGGCTGGGGGTACCTGGATTTAGGATTGAGAGGAGGAAAATCCAGCTTGGCTGATGGATGGAAGAGTCCCCATTCATAGCAGGAGACATTGCCTGTGCTGGGCTCCTTGAGGTCCCACCTCAAATCCTGGGGTCAGTTTTGGGCCCCTAATGAAAATTAAGACCTTGAGGGGCTGGAGCATTTCCACAGAATGGGATGGAGCTGGGGAAGGGGCTGGAGCACCAGGAGAGGCTGAGGGAGCTGGGAGGGGGGGCTCAACCTGGAGAAAAAGAGGATCAGGGGTGACCTTCTGGCTCTGCAGAACTCCCTGACAGGCGGGGACAGCCAGGTGCGGGTTGGGCTTTGCTTCCAAGGAGCAAGAGACAGAACAAGAGGAAACAGCCTCAAGCTGTGCCAGGGGAGGTTTAGGTTCAATATTAGCGAAAATCCCTTCGTGGGAAGGATGGTCAGTCACTGGCCCAGGGCAGTGGGGAAATCACCATCCCTGGAGACGTTAAAAAAATGTGTGGATGTGGCCCTTGTGAACATGGTTTAATGATGAACATGGTTTTGGTGCTGGGCTGATGGTTGCACTTGGTGATCTTGGAGGTCAGTTCCAACCTTGACATTCTTTGATTCCATGATTCTGCATGGGGGCCAGGGAGCTGTGGGCAGTGGGTGGGGAGCAGTTGGGTGGAGGGAGCAGTACCTGGGTCCTCTGGCTGAGATGTGGCCAAAAGGCTCAGTGTGGGATGGGCTCCAGCCCTGCAGCCCTGGGCTAGCTCCTGTCCACCTTTTTCCCTGTCTCCATCTTCAGTCCTTTCATCAGCATCCAGTGACTCCTTGTTTCCCCTTCCTTCCACAGAGACACTGATGGACTCCACCACGGCGACAGCAGAGCTGGGCTGGACGGTTCATCCTCCATCAGGGGTAAGGCATCACCTAACAGGGACCTGGAGCTGCTCTGGGGTCTCTTCTGCATGTGAATGTGGCAGGCTTGGCCCAGGAAAAGTCAGGCACTGATGCAAAGTGCCTTGGCCATATGGGAAGAGCACAAAAGGAGGTGACAGTTGAGGTTTCCAGTAGTTTTCTAGGAGGTGGTACTCCAGAAAATACCCCAGTGTTGGTGGGATGTAGTTCCCACCCCACAGAGTCATGCAGTGTGGAGCTAGAGGAATCACAGTCTTCATAGAGCTGGCATACAGCCGCCTAAAAATGAGGAGAGGAAGAAACAATATGCCAAGGCCACCATCATTTGTCCCCAGTGTCTCACTTGTTATTCCATTGTCTGTCACTTGTAGCAGGATGAGGGCATTAGGCTCAGGTCCTGAAGGGACTGGCATCCCATGGAGAAATGTTTGCTGGTTCAGCAGAACTATCTGTCTTCTTTACCAGGGCCAGGTGTACCCTGAAACACTTCAAAGAACCACGCTGAAGAAACTCCTTTAAAGAAGAGCTTGGGCAAGGCAGTGCATCAGGTTCTTCCCCCAGAGGGTGCTGGGCACTGCCCAGGCTCCCCAGGGAATGGTCCCAGCCCCAAGCCTTCCAGAGCTCCAGGAGCATTTGGACAATGCTCCCAGGCATGCTCAGGGTGGGATTGCTGGGGTCCTGGGCAGGGTCAGGAGTTGCACTCAATGATCCCTGTGGGTCCTTTCCAACTCAGAACATTCTGTGACTCTGTGATTTCTGCACCCTTCCTCTCTTGGGAGAAACCCAGAGTGGAGCCACCTCTGTGTCCATGTGGGGCATCAAGGTGCTTCAGAGCATCCTGCCCACCTCTGGTGGTCACCAGGGGCAGCCACAGTGTCCACCCCCCCCAGACCTCCTCCCTTACACTTGGGTGGCCCAATCCAGCCTGGCCAAAGCCTGGAGATGCTTCCCAAGCCCGTGCATGGCAGTGGTGGCTCGGGCTCCGTCCTGCCTTCCATCCACCCTCTGTGGGGGCTGGATGAAGACGTTTCTGTGGACCTCACCCCCAGGCTGACAGCATGCCCCCGATCTGAGCCGACTTGGCAGAAGAAAAGAAAGAGGCGAGAAAAGCCTTGTCTGGGGAGATTAAACGGAGCCGGAGCAGCGAGGCCGCGGTGCCGCGCCAGGCACAGGCGCTGCCGGCCGGGCCCATCACCATGATAAAGGGCAGAGCTGCCCCAGCCCCGCCAGTGCCCGCCGAGGGGGATGACGGGCACACAATGCAGGGGAGAAGAGGTCAAGTCTTTTTCTCTCCTGGCCCAGCCTTTCTTGTTTGCGGTGTTTCCATATGTGAAGCACGCCCTGCTCCCGCTCCCCAGCCCGGCCGTAATGAGGCCGGGGCCTGCTGGAAGCCGTCTCCCCGGGTTATTGTGCTGCTGCCTTCTTTTGAGCTCCCGGCATGTTAATTAGAGAGCCAAGAGAAAGGGAGAGGCTTCTAATTAAGCGTCGAGGAAGCACAGGGGCTGGTGCACAGGGGTGACTTTCTCTCCCATCTGGGAAAAGGGAAGTCTGGAGCCAGCCGCTCGCTGCGGCAGGGATGTGGGAGGATGCTGGGGGTCCCAAGCCTGGCCCCCAGGGTGCTCCCAGGTCCCCCATCAGGGTGGAGATGCCCCATCTGGACAGTGCAATGCAGTCCCAGCGGTTGGTGGGATTGTCTCCGGTCTCCTCTGGGCAGGGCCCTCAGGGGGGATATAGGCACATCATGTCCTGCTCTGTGCTCATCATGGGTGACTATTCTGTGGTGCCTTCATGGCCTCATGTCTATGGGCAGGACAAGGCAGTGCATCCCACTCAGAGGTGGCTGGCCAGGTTGGAAACAGCCAGCATCACCTGGAAGACAGAAGCTGCCATGTTCTCCTTTTTGGGGATTTTTAGAGACCCCAAAGCCCAAACAGTTGCTTTATGTCTGGCTCTGAAGCTCTTGTGCCATTCATATATGTACCCAAGCCCTGCCTCCAGCATCTCCTGTTCATCCCAAGTCCTGAAGACCCTCATTCCACCATGTGCTGCTCCTGCCTGACCAAGGCTGAGCTCTCTGGGCTCATGTCCTTACCCTCCCTGGGGGCTGGGCAGGTGTGGTGGGGGGGGGTCCCTTGGTTTTGGTAGCTGCCAAGGTAGGTGTCTGGAATGGTCCAGGTGAGGGAGAGCCACACCAGAGGCAGGGCAAGGGAGGGAATTGCTTCTGCATGCCTTGCCCTTGATTCCCTCGCTCCCCTCCCAACCAGTGCCCTGAAGAGCAGGGAGATCCTGCAATTTTCCACTAACACACCAAATTTATTTCTGGGAAACAAAGCAAATGCTCCGGCTGTGTTTTGCGAGGATGCACTTCTTGTCCCCCAGCCCTGGCAGCAGATTTACAGCTACTGCCAATCTGAAGTGGTTGGAGCTGCTGGGGATCTTCCCTGACAGCCTTCTGTTGGGCTGTGAGCCTTGATGTGCGAGGAGCAATCTGTCTCCCATATCCTGAGCCTCTCCCCCCAGTCCTGGGTGTCCTTGTGAGGCCCTTTACAACCTGAGGGGCTGGTGCTGTGCTGCAGGATTTTCTCTGGATTTGGTCCTGGCACTGGTGCTGGATCTGGGCTGTGCTGCTGCCCTGCCCTGGGTGTTGTGATCCTACATCCAGGGCAGGGTTGTGCTTGGGGTGTAACATCCATGGGGAACAGCTTGGCTTCCACTTCAGCAGTTTTATGAACAAATTCAGAAGGAGCAGTTCCAGCTGGCTGCGACCGCGTCACACGCCAGCAGGATTCTGGTCCCTGGTGCCAGCATCACACAGGTGCCCTGGGTGGGGATGGGACTGCGGGAAGGTGCTTTGCACTCCGGCAGGGGCTGGGCAGGAGGAGATGCTCTGTGAGCTGAGGGTTCTCCTCCCACAAAGACCCTTCCCTGTTGGTGCTCCCTGCAGAGGAGCAGTGGCCAGTTACAGGCTGCAGCTCATGCCCTGCATCCCCCTCTCTGAAATGTCTCCATCCTACACAGAATGGAGACAACCAGCACTGGAGGATTTGAGAACAAACAGCCTGGGAAAGGGCAGAGAGCTGGAGAAGGCCAGATGATGTCACAGCAGTCTTGAGCTCTGTGGGGACCCAAGGGGACAGCTGGAACTGTATCAAGGGGGTTTAGACTGGATGTTAGGAAGAGGTTCTCCCCCAGAGGGTGCTGGGCACTGCCCAGGCTCCCCAGGGAATGGGCACATCCCCAAGGCTGCCAGAACTCCAGGAGTGTTTGGATACTACTCTCAAGCACAGCATGGGATTGTTGGGGTGACTGTACAGGGCCACAAGGATGACTTGATGATCCTTGTGACTCCTTCCAGCTCAGGATGTTCTCTGTAACTCTACAGAGCTTCCTCCAGAGCTGGCAGAGTCAGTCAGCTGGGGAGAGCTGGGCAGAGCTTCCCATGGGGAAACCTGTCAGCTCTGAGCTGTCTTGCTGAGAAGGATGTTGCTGTCATGGCACAGCTTGCAGGCATGTCTGCATCCCATAGATCAGTTCAGGACAGCTGGGGCTGGAACCTGAGCACACCTGCTGGAGGAGTCCCAAAGCATTTTACCATCGAAGGGCAGGGATGAGGGCTCCAGTGAGACTTACCCAGCACCTCCTTTTTGGGAGCACAGCAGGATTAGCTGTGGTCCCATCCTGCCCCTGGGAAGAGGCACTGGCTGCAGCCAGGCATGAGGTTTTGTGGCTTATGAGGAAGCAGGTCCTGTTTGCCATGTCTGTAACTATAGTGGCGCTGGTGGGAATCCTTGTGCTAAAGGCACTGTGTTCTTTGGCCAGAGGCACAGCAATGCAGCCATAGACAGAGTCCCTGTTAAAACCATTTCTGCAGAGCAGTGGCCTTGCTGTCCCTCCAGCAGCAGAGAGGCTTGACCATGAATCCACACATGGAGCATGGTGCTCGTGGCAGCAAGGTGGCTCCAAGGGGCCCCTTTGTCTGTACAGGGGACATGGTGTGGGTCAAACCCTGCCCAGGCAGGTACAGGGCACCTGCAGGGGGTGCTGGGAGGAGGTGCTGGGCACTCTGGGACAGCTTGTGGGATGGGGTGGGCACAGAGAAGGGCAGCTGGGGCTGGCAGAGCCTACGTGGCACAGAGTGGGGATGGGAAGAGGTGAGGAGGGTGGGGAGTGCCCGTTCAGAGCAGCCCCTTGACTGTGTGTGTCCTGCCCACAGTGGGAAGAGGTGAGTGGGTACGATGAGAACATGAACACGATCCGCACCTACCAGGTGTGCAACGTCTTTGAATCCAGCCAGAACAACTGGCTCCGGACCAAGTACATCCGCAGGCGAGGAGCACACCGCATCCACGTGGAGATGAAATTTTCTGTCCGGGACTGCAGCAGCATCCCAAATGTCCCAGGCTCCTGTAAGGAGACTTTTAACCTGTACTATTTCGAGTCAGACTTTGACTCGGCCACCAAGACTTTTCCTAACTGGATGGAGAATCCTTGGATGAAGGTGGACACAATTGCTGCTGACGAGAGCTTCTCACAGGTGGACTTAGGTGGACGGGTGATGAAGATCAACACCGAGGTGCGCAGTTTTGGGCCTGTCTCCAAGAATGGTTTCTACCTGGCCTTCCAGGACTACGGGGGCTGCATGTCCCTGATTGCCGTCCGTGTCTTCTACCGCAAATGTCCCCGTGTGATCCAGAACGGGGCCGTCTTCCAAGAAACCCTGTCGGGAGCAGAGAGCACCTCGCTGGTGGCAGCCAGGGGCACATGCATTGCCAACGCCGAGGAGGTGGACGTGCCCATCAAGCTGTACTGCAATGGTGATGGCGAGTGGCTGGTGCCCATCGGCCGCTGCATGTGCCGGGCCGGCTACGAGTCGGTGGAGAACGGGACCGTCTGCAGAGGTAAGCACGGGCTCACCTCTGCTGGGGGGCACTCGGGGTTTGCATCTGGGATCTGCATGAACTGTCTGGGAGGGATCTCCTTGGGCAGGGGTGGCAGAGGGGCATGTGTGGAGGCTGACTCCTTCCCCAGCTCCTCACTTCCTGCCCTAGGCTCATCCGTCCATTATAGAGGTTGTACATGACCTCCAGGTCCCCAGAACCACTGGGTTCAGGGCTGGCACATGTTGCTGGTGCCATCCATGCTCTCCAGGGTTTGGAGGCACACACGTGTGGTGCATGTCACCAATCTGTAGTTGCCTCCCAAAGTACTGGGGCTGTTATGCTGTTGGTTTTGCTGTGTGCTTTGGCATGGGCTGAATCTCTTGTTGGATGAGGGGAGTGGGAATGCAGGGTCCCAAAAGGGTGCAGTGGGAGGGAACAAGTTGTCTACAGTGTTTTCTTGGTAAGGTGCAAATGGCCCAGGGCAGGACATGGTCATGGCCTGTTCAGAGCTACCTGGCCCCTGTGCTCCTCAACAGCTAGAGGTTTCCTGCCCTATAAATGTTCTGCCTCTATAGATGTTCTCCTCCCCCTGTAGATGTTCAAAGCAGACTCTGTGAGTGCCTGCTGAGTTCCGCTGAGCACCATGGAGCCAGCCTGGTCCCAGGCCAGCCAGAGGCTCAGCACCCCCCTCCCTGAGCTGATATCTGTGCCCCTGTCCAGTCATACATGGGCTCGGGAAGGTTGAGAAAGGAGCTCTTGGGATTGCTGGGAGGGAGGTGGGGACCCCAGAGCTGTGTGATGGGCACCTGCAGCTGTGCCAGGCACAGAGCAAACCACAGAGTTTGGCAAACAGGACTTTTTTCCCCTGACCTGGCTGAATGTCCAAATCCCTCTGCGGTTCCGATAGCATCGGCACACTCCAAGCAGAGCCAGGGCTTCTGACATCCTTTATAGACACGTTGTTTGTCGCTGCAGAGCCAAGGGAGGAGCTGTGTCTCCTCTCTTCCGGCTGCGAAGCGTTGGCCAGGTAGAACCAAGCATGGGGAAGGTGCTGGTAGTGGGAAACAGACACACTGAAGAAGGCAATGGACAATCTGATTGTGTTCAGTAGGAACTGCAGGCTGTATGGTCCCTTGGAGAGGGTTCCTTGTGTGCTGCTAGTAGCTGGGCTGCTCATGCACCAAAATTCAGGTCCTGGTGTGCTGTGGGGATCATTTAATATCCATTATTTCAGCTACTCCACGCTTAGCCGCTGAATGCTTCTTCCCACCGAGCTCGGGCAGATCAAGTGTCTTACAGCCTTAGCAGGGATGGGGATGGGGACAGCAAGGAAGTCCTGCTGGAAACTGAGCCTGGCTAATCCCTGCCTCGAAGGGCAGACAGGGCTTTTACAGCTCCCAAGTGAAGCATCCGTAGCAGCGCCAGAAACCCCAGTGATTCATGGCAGCTTTTCCGTCTCAGCCTGTTTGTTCCCGGAGCAGACCCAGCCCCGCTCTGATGCAGCCGGGGTTTCTTGGGGAGCTCCGCGGTGCCACTGCGGGCCCAGCCAAGGGACAGTCCCCTCGCATACCCCGGGGCTCCCAGGACCCCTCCTGTAGAGCCCTGTCCCCGCAGGGCTGGGGGAGCAGAGCAGGCAGGAGCGGGGGCCGAGGCGGAGGAGCGAGAAGGAGGGAGAGGCCGGTCCCCGCTTTGTCTGGGCAGCAGCAGCAGCAGCAGGATTTTGGGAGGTCCGGTACCTCGGCAGCTGTTTCTGCAGCCGGTGCTGGCCGCGCTCCCCGCCCTCATTAATCACGCGGTGGCCGGCAGCCCATCGTCTCCATGGGGCAGCTGGCTGGGGGCTGCCTCCCCTTCCCCTTCTCGTTCCCTTTCCCTTTTTCTTTTTCTTTTCCCTTCCCCTTCCCCTTTCTCCTTCCCCTTTCTCCTTTCCTTTCCGTTCTCCTTACCTTTCCCCTTCTCCTTCCCCTTCGCTTTTCCCTTCTGTTTCCCCTTCTCCTCCCTCTTAACCTTCCTCTTTTCCTTTCCTTCCCCTTCCTATTCCCTTATCCCCCTCTTCTTTTCTTTCCCTTTGATCTTTGCCTTTGTCTTCTCCGTTCCTTCTTTCCCTTCCTCTTCTCATGTGGGGTGGAATCAGGGCTGGATGGCACCCCAGTATTGTGCCCCTCCATTTTTCCCTGGCAGCCCCCAGAAGAGGAGTGTGGACTGGGAGGAGAGCCAGACACAGAGTTGGCAGGAGAGCCATGGAATCCCCGTCCTCTCCCAGCCCTCCCAGTGAGCCGCACAAAGGGCTGGGAAGGGGCTGCTCGGCCCAGCTCTGCTCGGGAAGGACCTGCGGGATGTATCCCTGCATCCCCTCCCTGCTCGAGAAGGACCTGCGGGATGTATCCCTGCATCCCCTCCCTGCTCGGGAAGGACCTGCGGGATGTATCCCTGCATCCCCTCCCTGCTCGGGAAGGACCTGCGGGATGTGTCCCTGCATCCCCGCCCTCCTCCCGCCGGGTCCCTGCCCCGGTCCCTGTGGAGGCAGCAGCGGAGCCGCCTGGCTTGGAGGACTCACTCCTACATGTGGCTGGCAGGTTTGCTCGTGTTTCCAGAGGTGGGAGGGAATCTGGGCCCTTTTCCAGAAGCAAAACAATAGCAAATCTGAGCTGGCTTTGGGGGTGAAGTTCTTTCACACACTCAGGCGCCTAAACAGGACGTAGCAGGGAGCATGGGGGGCCACGGTCCTGCCCCACCAAAGGGTCTAGGTGGAGAAGGACATCCCAAGGAATGGACAGCCCCTCTGTGCAGCTGGAAGGAGTTGCTCATTTTCTCCGCTGGGTTTTTCATCTGGCTAATAGCACGCCAGCCTGCTCGCGGCAGTGTGCACAAGGGATATTTATGGAGGAAGTTCATGCATCTAACAGCTTAAGCTCTTCTAAGCTCGCAGCCCCAGCACAAAAGGATTTGGGGGCAGTTAACAATTCCGTGTGGTTAAGAGATTTTCATTTCGCTGGGCCTGGCTTGCCGCTCCTGCAGGGCCCTGCGAGGGGTGGCTGCCCGCTCCTCTGCGCTGCTCTCCGCTCGCTCCCCAGCTCCTCGCTGCGAGGGGCTGCACACACACATCTCCCCCAGCCCCGTCCTCCGCGCTTCACCTTCTGCTCCCTGCCTGCTTTTCTCTCTCCATCTCCCTGTTCTTTGTCTGCGCCTCCCCCCTTCCCTCCCCTCCCCGTCCCTCCCATGCAGCACATTGAGCAGTTTCTCCCTCTCCCGTACCCATTGGCTCCGCTCAGCCACAGCGGAGGCAGAGCCATTGTGCTGCCGGGCTGGCTGGACAGCGGATGGACGCTGCCTGCACGGCCTGTGCCTGCTCAGGGACAGCAGCTGATGGCCGCTGCTCCCAGCAGCTCAGCCCTTCATCCCTTCTGCAGCTCCTCTCCATCACAGCAGGGGATCTCTGGTCTCTGTGTTGTCTTTGTTGTGCTCCTACGGCACTGAGCACCAAGAGTCCTGGTCTTGCTGGGGTGACAAGGGATGGTTTTACCCTGCAGAAGCTAGTGGTGACACTCTCTGGCTGTCAAGAGACATCTGGTGTCATCCCTTGGGGTCACAGGCCTTTCTGAGGAGGAGAGGAGCTGGTGAGCTGATGGAAAGAGGAGAAAACAAGTCAGATTCAGGCTGGCAGCTGTCTTCTCCTTGGCTCTGTTTTCTGCCTCTCTGCTCTGCTTTTGTGAGACCCTCCTGCAATGCTGCCTCCAGCTTTGGGGTCCCCAACATCAGAAGCATGTGGAGCTGCTGGAGTGAGTCCAGAGGAGGCCACAGAGATGTTGTGAGGACTAGAGCCCCTCTGCTCTGCAGCCAAGGCTGGGAGAGCTGGGGGCGTTCGCCTGGAGAAGACTCCAGGAAGAGCTCAAAGCCCCTTCCACTGCCTAAAGGAGTTCCAGGAGAGCTGGAAAGGGACTTCGGACAAGGAATGGAGGGACAGGACATGAGGGAATGGCTTCAGATGGACAGAGGGCAGGGACAGATGGGATATTTGGAAGGCGTTCCTGGCTGTGAGGCTGATGAGGCCCTGGCACAGGTTGCCCAGGAAAGCTGTGGCTGCCCCATCCTTGGAAGTGTCCAAGGCCAGGTTGGACGGGCCTTGGAGCAGCCTGGGATAGTGGAAGGTGTCCCTGCCCATGGCAGGGGGTAGGACTGGATGAGCTTTAAGTTCCCTTCAACTGAAACCATTCTGGGATTGTCTGATTTTGCAGCTTAAGGTGGAGCTGGGCCTCCCCTGAGGGGAGCCCCAGGCCTCAGCAGGGTCCCCTTCCCTGCTGTGATTTTGATGTTCAGGGTGGTGGACCTGCCACCACCCCACCATGTGTGGGTGATGTGGGCTCAGGCACGTGTGACAAGGACCCCAAGCCATCCCTCCAGAACAGAGGGTGGGAAACACCTAAGCTGTACTTGGGATTTGGAAGGGACCGAGTAGTGCTGAGGGCTGAGAGCAGCTTCTGATGTGCTGGAGCAGGGCCTGTCCGAGCTGTCTCACAGTCACGGCCCATGAGGACGTGATGTTTTCATGATAAAAGGCTATTTATGGCTCTGTGCCTGTTTCGGGTCTGGGCCTCCTCTGATAGTGCTGGACCCAGCCAATAAATTGTAAGGCTCTAGGGGTAATCGAGTTCTTCCAGGAAGCATTCCTGGTTGAACTGGAGCAGATACAGCCAATTGTTCTGGAAATGTTTCCAGAGACAAAGAACTGCCCGTTAAATGCTTCCAGAGGCTGTCCCTGCTTTCTTACTCTGCTGGGCCTGGCACTCCCACCTCAGAGAGCTTCATCCATCGCCACACCTCTGTGTTCCGTGTGCCTGTTGAAGGGTAATCTTTGGCCCCTGCTCCTCTGGTAAGGTTTTCAGCCAACTTTTTTGGCTCTCCCCAGCCCTTGGCACTGCTCTAGCCTTTCCCTTGGCAGATCCAGTTCCCCACATACAGGCTGCTCATGGTGATCAGCTGCATGCCAGAGGGGATGCTGAGATTCCCTCTGCCTGCATCCC